CCACTGAATTTCGCACGATTGAAGAGAACACGTCTGAACAGTAAGTTCAATTCAATACTCTTCATACGTTACTAGGAAGTTGCATCGACGGGATTAATCGTTTACTAATTATCTAATATTTCAATATGTGCAGTAGCAGACCCTTCATTACGTTCCACAATTCATTATGAGAAAAGGAATGATGAATTTTCTGAGTTAGAGTTGCCATCGACGAGTGCATATGATGCTGAATGTAATAATATGGAGTATCTGTCGCAAAGTTCCCTCAATGAAGACTACTCAGACATGGAAGTCGATTCATCTTCTGATGAACAGTCATTGTTCGAATTTAACGGGTTGCAATTGAGCCCAAAAAATATCCAAAAATGAACACGTGCTGGTCACTGATGAAAACTATGTCAGAGTTTATGAAGAGATGAAATTTATCATTATACGCTATTCACTTGTTTTCANTGGTCACTGATGAAAACTATGTCAGAGTTTATGAAAAGATGAAATTTATCATTATACGCTATTCACTTGTTTTCATATAATAAAGTTAATATCATTATGGTTCATCATGTATAAAAAAAGCATCACATTGTACCAGGTTTTCTCACATCAACACCTAATTATCCTATCATAATCCTGAATATCGAAGCTTTATTCCGACGGCGGGTTTCATAATATATCAATAAGATTGGCACAAAACGATGAAGAAGAGTATGGAGGTAAATGACTAGGAATGATTTTTCAACATTGTTGAAATTGAAATGGCAGTTGATGCTTGAAAGGAAAAATATTTTATGTGATTGTGCCCGAAAACCACGATCTAACGGACCAAATTGACAATTGCATAAAATATCGTGTGGCACATGGCGATATATTATGACACTAGGTGTCATTATGTACTATTGGATGTAATTGTCGTAACTAGAATAATTCCGGGCTGTTAAATTTGCTTCGAAAAAAAAGTGTTAATCTAAATTTGTTGTTCTTCATCTAATTTTACTGGAACCTTGATAGATGCAACTTTTTATCTGCAATGAAAGAATATTATAATATCAAAATAAGTAGAAGTCGCTGATCTTTTAAACTTGAATCTATGCTCTTGTCATAGAATCTGTCATACCGGCATTTATTTTCAATAAAATTCGTTGCAAGTTTTGATGTAAAAAATTGCAGCTGGCTACCACGACAAGGGCTTGCAGTTATATGCACAATTTTGTGTGCCCAATCGTAACTGGGAAATAACACTACTTTAATGTTATTCTTAAATTTCAGTAAAGAAGAAACGTTCACGTGCATCGAAGAATACCGAGAGGCACAACCGTTCAACATCAGCGTCGAACCCAAAAGGGAAAAGACAATGTACTGGAGTGATCTCGACAAAAGGTGTTATTTCGATTTTAATTTTCGATATAAATATAACTGCTCACCTCATTCTCTGACAATTACCATAATTTATTACCTTTTTTTTTCAGTAGAAGTATGCAACAATAGCACTGTTGACGAGACGTTTAGTCATGATGTGGATGTTTTCAAGTATCTAATCCAGCAGGGATTTGTACAAAACTGTCCATATATGATTCACAAAAAGGATGTAGTAACGGGGTGACATGTAAGTCACTAGCTGACACTGAAGGATAGCTATCTAAGGATCTGGACAAGTTCATGTATATAATACAATTAAATGAGAAACAAATATATATAAACTAAAATTGATGAGATAATCTCTTTTGTTAATTGTCGTAATCAACAAAGAAATAGTTGATTTATTTATTTTGATTGTATGATAATTCAATTGTATTTTTTATAGTTATACGCATATCCCTGCGTAAATAATGGAGAAAAAATCAATTTTCAAATAGCATCTTCCTATAAAATGTAAAAAATATTGTTTAATAAGATTGGATTGTATTTTTAACATTCAATTTCATTCACCGCATTCCATAGTGCCTCTGATAGGACTATTTGTGCATTCAATGTAATGTGTGCGAAAATTCTCACTCGTATGAGTTGAGAATCCCGGTTCGATGAAAATTTAAAATGAATATTGCCATCTTTTGATGTGAAAAGACAATAAAAATTATGACCGATCGCGAATAACTACGGGAACTCTACCTTGCCGACATTACTTGACCGACTGCAAGTCTCCCGGGCAACTGTTCTTATTGGGCAAATATACTTTTGGGTAACTGAATGTCCAGGCAGTTGTGCCATCTCATGTCTCCCTGAATCTTGGGCAACTGTGAGACGGGGCAACTGTAGAAGTACAAACGAAACCCCCCCTTACCGACATAGCTATGGTCGGGATAAAGCTTCTTGCTTTGACCGCAAACTGGAGGGGCGTAAAATCGCCACTCGGGAAAAAAATCCCTCCATCCGGGCCTTAAATAAAACTATTTATTTTATAATTGAAACGCTCCTGTATTTTTGACTAGGGGGATGAAAACCTAATCTAATATTCTGCAATATTTGTATTGGTTCCATGAGCAAGTATTTTCAAACCTAATTTATTATGAGATTCGATAACTACATCGAACAAAATAAAAAACACTCAATAACCCTAAAAAGTACCGAAAATTCATTTTCATTACATTTTTTTAATTCCGTTTCCACCCATTCAAATAAAAAACCCGAGACACCAGTCTGTTCATTAGATTTTGTATTTTTTTCTCAATTTTTGCTGGATTATAACTTTTCCTGATCACCAGATTATTCAATGTCAAAGACGTGCATTTTCGGTCATTTCAGCAACTTAAATATTTATTTTTTCAAAAACTAGACATATTAGAGACAAAACAAGGCCAGATCCTGAATCTACATATCAAAATCTATAAAGTGCACTTGATTCCATTCTGCGGGCAAATACCAAGGGTTTTTTTGTCGAACCGTGTTATTCATTGATGTAGACACAAAAAATCGTTTGAAGTATAAAATTTATGATGGATAACAATTCGACGTTTAATATTAGCATTCTGGATATTGAGAATTTGTTGGGGAGCACGAGGAGGCCATTGGAGGCTGGAGAAGCTCTGTTGAAAGCTGATCATATTGCTGTTTGTGGCATTCAATCATTGTCAGATAAATCTGTTCACATATTATCAGCTTGTTTGCAATCATCACACATAAATGAAATTCATGAAATCAAAATCATAAATTCTATTGAGGATACGATGAAAAATTTCGATTGTAAATGTTCTTGTCCTGCTGGTGAAGGAGGAAAGTGTAAACAAATTTTTGTAACTCTATTATTTATCTGGTGGTGAGACTGATGTGACAATTTTTCCTGCTGAATATTGTTTCATTTTTGAGATTTATTAGTGTCATTTAATTCTTGGGCTGTAAATATGGCACTGCTTTTTTTATTATTTTCATTTTCACCTGTAGGAATCAGGTTAATAATTACTGGAGAATTTTTCTCGAATGTCCTCGAAAACCTCGACACCTCGAAAGCTCCGTTTAAAAATGCGAACACAAAATAAAGACACAAAAACTTTAATATCTCGGAAACAAGATGCAACGAAGTAGACTCTTTTCATGTGGACGTCCACATTAATAGACGACAATTGCAATAGAATTGTTTATTCCGGCTTTTTATTAATAAGTTATAATATTAATCGAAACATTACAAATCTGTCCCACAACACACCCTCTTGGAAGAATCCATATCTTTCCTTTCATTTGGGATGAATAGAATACTAATTAGTCCACTAATTGACTCTCTAACTGCCGACAACTTAACAGTAAATTGATGTCGAATCAATTGATAATATTATTAGAAATTTAGAGTCAACTTTTATGCAACTAATTGACATTGAATGGTGTGATAATATTGAAATAGAAATCGTCAACATTATCCCTTATTTTGTCGATAAATTGACGGCATATTTCATCTGAAGAGTTGCGCACATTCAAGTTCGACAATGTACCGTCAATTTTTGCTACTAATTTGCAGTAAGTATTTCCGATAACCTGATGATAACTTTTCTGGGTTATCATCTCCATTTGGGATTAAATTGTCGTCATATTGACAGCAATCCGTCAGCCATTTTGAGGATAATAGTATCCAAGAATTGCTGGTAAATTTTAACTCATCGGACAATTTTGTTTACTGGGTAAGTTGGGGTTTCTCAGTTGTACTGATCTCAAGCAGCAGTGGGGAATGTTGCGAAAAAAAAATTACTTTACCACACAATGAAGTGAAGCCTATAAAGGAGTATCGTTGCATGAAGAGGAAAAATGTAAATCATGAAGTTATCTCGTCTCTGAAAGATTTTTTTCTTTTCGACATTAATTGATGGTACGTTTCTTCTGTTTTTCTTTTTTTTCTTTTGCATATTGAATCAGAGCAGTAGTAAATTGAGAAAACAAGATATGTGAATGTCATATGAATATCTCAGAACTTAATAGAGATAGCAAAATATTTGTATGGATTTTATTTTATAGAGCTGAGGGAGATGTCCAAAAAGGTTTCATGAGAGTTTCGCTATTCCCATTAGGCTTGAAGATATTCCCCGAAAACCGACTTGTTAATTAAAACCCACGTATGCTGTTTTACTACTTCACTGCTAATTTCATTCAACTAGTTATATTCATTACGGTATTGAGAAACGTTTTTAATATGTTACATGCTTGAGTAGGATTACCAGAGTCGGAGGCAACGATTCACTTTTCACAAAAAAGAGCTACTAAACTTTCAATAGATATCAACGAAGAAAATCAATAAAAATCATTGACTACTGTCAAAACTTTCCTCACCGAACGACTTCACAAACCCCTAATATTGAATTCTTGCCTTACGCATGATGAGCATTGCCAGGATAACTTCTACATACAAAATGTGATGACCACTACAGACAATGTCATTGACATATGTTTCAAAACGATGGGACAACAAAATGAACTGTGGAAGCAGGAAAGAAGCATTAGGATAACAGGAAGTATCTGTTACGATTTTTATACTTACGGTTCAGCAGGAGTTCCTGATTGGCCTAAGAATGTATTGTTTTCTGACTTCAAAGGCACAGCAGATACTCGCCATGGTATCCTAAATGAGCCAAAATGTCGTAAATTGTATGAAGATTTATTCCAACGTAAAGTCGAAACAATGGGCTTGATAATGCACCCTCAGTTGCCTTGGCTAGCGTACAGTCCTGATGGTATTGTAGTGAGCGATGATTGTTTAATTGAGATTAAGTGTCCACGGGAGGGTGGGAGAAAAGCTGTTCGAGATGTTATATTATCAAAAAAGTTGTCATAAGTGAAAGTCTCTAAAGAGGGGCAGATTTATCTGAATATCAAACATAAATATTATGGTCAGATTCAGTTGGGAATGTTCCTTCTCAATCTATCCAAATGTCATTTTTTGGTTTACAGTTCATTTGCAGATGATCTTGTCCTCATTGAAGTTTCATTTAATGCGCAATGGGTACAAAAAATGTGTGACAAGTTGAGGAGCGTTTATTTCGATCACATTTTGCCTGAATTATCAAAGCATATATGTCGTTGATTTGCATTGCATGGAATTTTACTGGAATGTTTATGTGTTAGCTGAATGTTCTTTTATTAGTAAATTTATAATCTGTAACACTATCCTTTCTGACAAAATTTATACTCATACCTTTCACTGGGAGGATAGAACATTTTCAGGGGTCAACGTCTCAAAGGTCAAATGAGGGAGGGAAGCGGAGTAATCAAAAGTGAGCTTTGTACGCTGAGTAAGTGGAAGTTTCTGACCAGCTGCGATATTCAGCTGCCATTCCATCAAATCAAATTCAGTGGTGGCTTCAGTCACTGGACATTTGATCAACAAATGAGTATTCATTATCATGAAGAAGAAACTTAGGTCGATCCTATCGTTTATGAGTTCTACAGTACCAGTACCGACATAGCCCACAGCTTTGGCTACTCTAACAAGTGCTCTCTCTATTTCTCATTTGACTTTGCCGGCCAATCCTGATGCAAGCGCCTCTTTAATGACCTTTTGGTGCATTCTCTGCACCGAACAGTCTCTCAAGCAGATAAACAGCATTTTCATGTTAATCAGCTAATATCTGAACTTCAAAATGTCTTGGATTCTCTACGTACTTCTCTAGCAGAACATTACAGGCCCCAAATGCCTTTTGAGATTCGGTTCATACTGACTCCAATGACCCATAACACTCGTCTCATCTTTAGCTATTCTCATTCCTCTACCACCACCACGTATTGCCTTTAATATAACAGGAAAACCTATTTTATACGCTACGGACAAAAGAATTTCATTTGATTTATCACTGGAATGATATCTTGTAATAAGTGGAAGCGCTCGAGAGTTTAATATACTCAAGGATCAGACGTTCATTACAAACAAATGTTCTTAATAGTCAGATGTTCAGGGTCGAAGGAACTCAAGAGTCCGGTGTTCTTAAGGGTAAACAGGTCTTCAGGGTCAAACGGGGAACAAAGGCGAAGTACTGTAGTAAACAGGTCACTTCAAGGAAACAGGCGACTAGAACGTTCTTCAGGATCAAACATGCCTAAGGATCAAACACGAAAGCCACACGGATTAATTAGACGACCCAAACG